AAATATATGAAAAATTGATGTGGGTATTCAAACGCAAGGTCTTGATGAGTGTAATGTCGGGGTGAGTTTATTTTTTTAAAAATGTCAATAGTTGACAAAATACAAGGTCGTTTTTTAATTATTGACGTTTTTAAAGATATAAGCTCATCTTGATGTTATTACACTCATCAAGAGCTTTCATTTGAGTACCCACATGCATTTTTACATATTTTTCATATTTACATATATATAATATATATAAATACATAAAATATATGAAAAATTGATATGGGTACTCAAATGAAAGGTCTTGATGAGTATGACATCGGGATGAGCTTATATCTTTAAAAATGTCAATAGTTGACAAGATACAAGGTCGTTTCTTAATTATTGATATTTTTTAAGATATAAACTCATTTTGACGTTATACTCATCGAGATCTTTCATTTGAGTACCCACATGACATTTTTCATATATTTTATATATATGGTATTTGTAATATATATAAATATATAAAATATATGAAAAATCGATGTGGGTATTCAAATGAAAGGTCTCGATGAGTATAACAGCAGGATGAGGTTATATCTTTAAAAATGTCAATATTTCACAAGATACAAGGTCGTTTCTTAATTATTGATATTTTTAAAGATATAAGCTCATCCTAACATTATACTCACCAAGACCTTAATATAAATAATAAAATAATCCATTTCATAAAAATTTATATTAAATGGATTAAATTTCTGAATTTTATTTAAAACAAAAATCATAAAAAAAAAATATTATCTCAACTCTGTGTTAAATCTTCGCTGAGTAAAATGTATTGCTACACCATTTCATGAATAACTAAGTGCGTTGTACTACTTTTTATTTATTTTTTTTTTTTTTCATAAAACCACAAACTATAATTGGAAAAATAAACTCTAAAATCACAAAGTCATGAAGTTTTAATGGTAATTTCAGAATATTAAGTGTTTTGTTTATAAAATTTGTCTGTTTTACCTCGTAAACTTCAAACTTATTAAACTGTCGTTTAGTTGAAGCGGTTAATATTCAAATTATTTTATTACTACAATAATAAACTATCATTTAGAAAAATAAAAGTTCAAAAATTAATTAATTATTGACCTTGAATTCTAACGTATGACCTTTAAATTTTTCTTTTACTATTTACTGTAGATAGATTATTTTTGATACAATTGCTTCTGTAACTTTTCAAGATTCTAAGCCGTATAAACTTTTTGCAATAAATCAATATAATGAGGCATTGACCTAGACAACTATGTGCTTAAATACCCGTACTAGAATAGCGAAAATGAAAGAAATTAATCAATCTATTGTTTGGATAAATGAAACAGTTGATAATTTAATGCATTGTTGGATACTTTAATTAATGTATTCATCAAAAAAGTAAATTATTTACAGCATAAATTTATACTGTAATTAAAAGGATAAAAATAATCAATCAATGTACGGAAAAAGTAGAAATTATAGTTTTACATAGTAAAAAAAAATGTTTAATTTAAAAATTTTTAAGTTTAAATAGAAGGTAATAAATAATTACCTAAAGCAAATTTGACGCCAGTCCACGCTTGCCGTACGTAGTTAAAAAATCTTCTGTACAATGGCCGTGGTGGTTTTTTCGGTGCATTTTCTTCTTCGTTGTCTTCCTCAGTCTCGGGGATGCCCGGTGGTGGTCCTATTCCCGTTAGTGTCCCGGCTTGATTCCGCTTGCCGAGAATATTAAAGACCTCATGGTACCCGGGTGCCTGATATCCTGGGGGATAATTTCCGGGAACATTGCCGCCCAAAAATGTTGCTCCATCCCCGGTTCCGCGACTTCCCCTGGCACGTCCACGGTCTCGGTTCCATGTCGCTGCACTTCCTGAAATTGTGTTTAATTTGATAATTATCTCTTTTATTGCTTTTGTTTTGTTGTCAAAAGGACTTTAATGGCTGCTGTAATTTTTTTTTTTAAATAGCGTTTATGAATGCATAGAATTTTAAAGCTGGTTTGTTATAATGGTAAATAGATCTCGGATGAAGAGAAAAATACACAGATGGAGTCGCCAGTGCGCGCCGACGGTTCATTAATTTTAGCGGATGCATATTATTCAAGAGAGACTATCGATTATTTTATCAATAGCTATTGAACTGAATTATTTAAATTATTTCATTCGATTACTAATCTCGTGAATGTCTAGAATATTTCTTGTATTTTAAATAATTTTTTTTAAACCAAAGTCCTAATGTTTCTTATTGTTATTTTTATTTAAAAGATCTTCTTCATTCTTATTGTGCAGTTAATAATTAATCCCCGTGGTAGCTTTTATGTGACTCATAATTATACTCAGAAAAGTTTGGTTAATGTTCTTTAGAGTTTAGATATAGTCAAAGTAAATTACAAGTACACAGATAGACTTAAAAAGTAACAATTGCTTTGTATTCACCGGATAAATTATAAAGTTTATGCATCATGCTTATAAAGCAACTTTCTCTAGCACTTATTTGACATAGTATTGAATTTTCCGCAAATAATTTTTTTTTTAACTGATAAAAGAGCTCAATAAATATAATTCTGCTTTAATTTATAATTTATTAATTAAAAATAACGAGAAGCGACAATATCATATGATTTTTCTATTTAACTTATTTTTATAAAGATTGTTTCGGATTTATTTCTTCATTATTTTAAGCAAAGTTTTTTTTGTTAGTAATTTTTTGACTCTTTTGTTTTGTCTTTTTTTAAATGTTTTAAAATTTATATTTTATTCTAATAAGACCGTGTACATTTTTCTTAAAATATCTTAAATATCTTTTTTTAGTGTGTAAATTGCAATAAATTAAAAAAACTTAAGTTAATTTTTAGGCTGTAAGATGCCACGTGGGAACTTTCTATAGTAAATTTAGAAGGTAGGGTTAGTCTGTGACGTAACAGCGCGGAGCTGTATACCTCGGTAGGCCTAGAGACTGTATGCTATAGTCATAACTAGTTTAACAGTCATAGAGTGTACTACGTGTCTGCTACTAAGTTATTTCTGCCAAAATTTTTTTCAAACCTCTACATTTTTATTATCTTTAACCGCTACATTAATTTTGTTTAAGTGTTTGCTGTATTGATTTTATAAATAGATTGTGAATTTGTTTATTTGTAAATTAAAATTTTTTTAATTGTGTAAATTATTTATAAGTATTAAAATTTAAGTGTCTTTTAACCTTAAATCTAACCACAGGTCTATAAATAATTAATTGATTTTTTTAAATATATTTTTAATAATAATTATTATTTTTAAAAAAAAATGGAGAATTTCAACCTCAAAGCGTTCAATAACGAAGTAATGAGGTCCATCATATCAATGGAGGAAGAAATTGATATAACCAAAAAGCCGCCAACTCCGGGAAAATTAATTTTAAAATACTTTCCAGAGGATTATGCCAAGTTTAATCAGCCTCTTCCCGTTCGAGAGCTGTTTGTACCCCAGCAGGCTGAAGAACCTCAACAGGAGGAGCCCGAAGACCAAGCAGAAGAAGAAAACATTCCCGAGCAACCTCAGAGGCTAGACCGGACGGCTCAGAGGTACAATTTCAGTGTTTTTCCCCGAGAAAGCCGCCCTATTGCCATTCCGAAATTTCGGAATGTCAATAGAAGTGTGTTCTTCGGGAACACTGAAATTAATAGGCCCCAGGCCAATTCAAGAAGGATGCCTCGAGAAGAACCGGCTCCTATTCCGGCCCCGACGGAGGACAGCCTGAGAGGAGTATTAGAGCGCTTGAAGAGTCGCTCGACGGAGATGAACCCGGGCAAGAGGAAAGCCCAAGTCATCGACGTGGTCCAGCCAGCCCCAAAAAAACGAAGGGGTAACAAATAATTTAATTAACATGTTTTTTTTCAGGTTATTTTTAAGCTTTAGTTTTAATTAATCTAATATAATTTCATCTTTATTATTTTTATTTTTAGGTTATTTTTTATTGAATTATTTTATGTTAGTTTAAGGATTTAATTATAGTCATTGAATATTATGGTGGAGGGTATATAAATTTAAGGTTGATTTTAAGGAATTAAATGCCGACCGGGTGGTTGACCTTTAGTGACATTTCTTTTTTGTGATATTGCTTTGATATTATCCAATAAAAAAATGTTTCTATTGGACATTCCCATTAAGGCATTCCTGCAATTAACATATTTGAATTTTTTTTTTGTAATGTCATACTTTAACATCATTATTACATAGCTTTAGAAAAATCCATTGTTACCGATACCTGAATTTCTTGAAACAAGAAAATTATTTATGATCTTTATTCAAGTATTTTACTTCTCAAATCATAACTTATAACCTTTTAAGTATGACTTATATTCCAAAACCCAGTTACTTAAAATTTAACATTAACACTGTTAAGATTTAGTAAAGCACGTTTTATAGCTTTTTTGTTTTCCGGCGTTAATTTATTGACATTGTCTATATATAAAACTCGGAAGCGAGCTAATCCTTAAAAATGGGCTCGAAGGGATAATTAATATGCTTAACACCCGAATAAATTTATTGAAACAAATGATAAAAAATCGAGAACATACCTTGGCGCTTTTTGTAGGAGGGAAGCCCCACAACGGGGCCACAACCTCCCGCGCTCCCCGCGACCGAGGAGCTGATGGTGGCAAGACCGGAAGCACTCCGACCGCCAGCACTGCGACGTTCGTAGTCACGTCGTCGGCACCCGCCACCTCCTCCTCCACCGCCTCCTCCTCCACCGCCCCCTCCTGCTGAAAACACCACGAAAGACCCGCGAGTACGTTCTGGCTGTCTTGGTCTTCTCTTATGTTTTTCTTTAAATTTTTTTTAAATTATTTTTTTATCCTCTCCTTTTGTTTATTCTTTTGTACTCTCCAGGTTCTTGGAAAAAAATTTCTCAGTCCTGGAACAAATAAATAAAATAAAAATGATACACGGAAAATGAAGCGCTTTCATTGACGTAGAAGCAATTTAAACAACTGTAATTTTTATTTTTTTGTCATGCTCGATTGTACTTTAATTTACCTGCAAGAGAATTTACTGTTCACTGGGTCCTCTAGAACGCGTCAGCGATTTTTGCCAATAGCATTGAGTGTTATAAAAAATAATCGACTTTTTTATTTTTTTACGAATGAATGAAACTTATATAAAAAATAAATAAGGATATACGATCATTCGCCAACTCTACGGAAATTTATTCTTTCACTATTTTCACGACGAGGCCACCAAACGGTACATCCCCTTCCCCTTTTTTCTCGAGCTTTCGTATATATGATGTTATATTTAGTTTTATTTTTTATATCGAATATTCATGAGTTCATTGTGATTTGGAAGTTAAAAAAATGCTAAATTTCGTTATAACAGTTTGGGCTTTTACATTTTACATTTTTTTTTTTTTAACAGTTGGGAGTTTATTAATTCGAGGTCGGTTGCTTAAAAAAGGAGCTTTTGGTAGTATGAAATGAACCGAAAATAAAAAATGGATTTAGAAAGAATAATCATGAGTAATTGAAAAAAAAAAAAAGTTTTTTTTTTGTTCTATTTTCTGAAATAGAAATGAAAAATTATTTTTTCAAAATTACTTAAATAAATTTTACTAGCAATTTTGCAGTCACTATGTGACTGCCGTGATTTGTAAAAATAAATAAATAAAATTTGGGTTTATTAAATAATGATTTTTGGTAAATTGCACTGTACTTTCTTAAATATTGACGTTTTTTAAGATATAAGCTCATTTCGATGTTATACTCATCAAGAGCTTTCGTTTGAGTACCCACATGCATGTTTAATATATTTTTCATATATACATATACTAGCTGTCACCCGTTGTGAGTGGAATTTCGTTAAATCCGTTGTTAGCTAGGTTTTATGGCTCCAGGGATATCGTGATGAGTGACTATATACGTGGAAATCTCTTATATATATAGAGATTATTTTATTTTAGTAAGTATTCCAACTTGATAGTTACCTATATTTCAATCTATAACGCTAGTAAATACTTTCGTGGACTTTGGGTCGTATCCTTAGTTTCAGCTTATCGCATATAGCAGATTCTTTTCAACAATTTGGAGCTTATAGGAGCTACAGCTCGGAAATTTAAAAATTTAATTGTTAACACTCACCCCCGCACCCCCTGTGGGGAGGGATATCGTAAAATTCGTTCATAAATTATTTTTACATCACGTACAGAAATTTTCTATAAAATTTGGAATCTGTAGGAGTTATAGCTTGAAAATTAAAAATTTTCATTGTTAATTCCCACCCCCGCAACCCTCTGTGGGGTGTATTATCTTAAAGTTCGTTCATAGATTATTTCTACATCTCTTACAGAAGATTCTTACCAAATTTGGAGTCGATAGGAGCTATAGTTTAAGAATGGGAATTTTTCATTGTTAACGCCCCCGCAACTCCCCTTGTGAGTGGAATTTCGTTAAATCCGTTGTTAGCTAGGTTTTATGGCTCCAGGGATATCGTGATGAGTGACTATATACGTGGAAATCTCTTATATATATAGAGATTATTTTATTTTAGTAAGTATTCCAACTTGATAGTTACCTATATTTCAATCTATAACGCTAGTAAATACTTTCGTGGACTTTGGGTCGTATCCTTAGTTTCAGCTTATCGCATATAGCAGATTCTTTTCAACAATTTGGAGCTTATAGGAGCTACAGCTCGGAAATTTAAAAATTTAATTGTTAACACTCACCCCCGCACCCCCTGTGGGGAGGGATATCGTAAAATTCGTTCATAAATTATTTTTACATCACGTACAGAAATTTTCTATAAAATTTGGAATCTGTAGGAGTTATAGCTTGAAAATTAAAAATTTTCATTGTTAATTCCCACCCCCGCAACCCTCTGTGGGGTGTATTATCTTAAAGTTCGTTCATAGATTATTTCTACATCTCTTACAGAAGATTCTTACCAAATTTGGAGTCGATAGGAGCTATAGTTTAAGAATGGGAATTTTTCATTGTTAACGCCCCCGCAACTCCCCTTGTGAGTGGAATTTCGTTAAATCCGTTGTTAGCTAGGTTTTATGGCTCCAGGGATATCGTGATGAGTGACTATATACGTGGAAATCTCTTATATATATAGAGATTATTTTATTTTAGTAAGTATTCCAACTTGATAGTTACCTATATTTCAATCTATAACGCTAGTAAATACTTTCGTGGACTTTGGGTCGTATCCTTAGTTTCAGCTTATCGCATATAGCAGATTCTTTTCAACAATTTGGAGCTTATAGGAGCTACAGCTCGGAAATTTAAAAATTTAATTGTTAACACTCACCCCCGCACCCCCTGTGGGGAGGGATATCGTAAAATTCGTTCATAAATTATTTTTACATCACGTACAGAAATTTTCTATAAAATTTGGAATCTGTAGGAGTTATAGCTTGAAAATTAAAAATTTTCATTGTTAATTCCCACCCCCGCAACCCTCTGTGGGGTGTATTATCTTAAAGTTCGTTCATAGATTATTTCTACATCTCTTACAGAAGATTCTTACCAAATTTGGAGTCGATAGGAGCTATAGTTTAAGAATGGGAATTTTTCATTGTTAACGCCCCCGCAACTCCCCTTGTGAGTGGAATTTCGTTAAATCCGTTGTTAGCTAGGTTTTATGGCTCCAGGGATATCGTGATGAGTGACTATATACGTGGAAATCTCTTATATATATAGAGATTATTTTATTTTAGTAAGTATTCCAACTTGATAGTTACCTATATTTCAATCTATAACGCTAGTAAATACTTTCGTGGACTTTGGGTCGTATCCTTAGTTTCAGCTTATCGCATATAGCAGATTCTTTTCAACAATTTGGAGCTTATAGGAGCTACAGCTCGGAAATTTAAAAATTTAATTGTTAACACTCACCCCCGCACCCCCTGTGGGGAGGGATATCGTAAAATTCGTTCATAAATTATTTTTACATCACGTACAGAAATTTTCTATAAAATTTGGAATCTGTAGGAGTTATAGCTTGAAAATTAAAAATTTTCATTGTTAATTCCCACCCCCGCAACCCTCTGTGGGGTGTATTATCTTAAAGTTCGTTCATAGATTATTTCTACATCTCTTACAGAAGATTCTTACCAAATTTGGAGTCGATAGGAGCTATAGTTTAAGAATGGGAATTTTTCATTGTTAACGCCCCCGCAACTCCCCTTGTGAGTGGAATTTCGTTAAATCCGTTGTTAGCTAGGTTTTATGGCTCCAGGGATATCGTGATGAGTGACTATATACGTGGAAATCTCTTATATATATAGAGAGAGATTATTTTATTTTAGTAAGTATTCCAACTTGATAGTTACCTATATTTCAATCTATAACGCTAGTAAATACTTTCGTGGACTTTAGGTCGTATCCTTAGTTTCAGCTTATCGCATATAGCAGATTCTTTTCAAATTTGGAGCTTATAGGAGCTACAGCTCGGAAATTTAAAAATTTAATTGTTAACACTCACCCCCGCACCCCCTGTGGGGAGGGATATCGTAAAATTTGTTCATAAATTATTTTTACATCACTTACAGAAAATTCATACAAAATTATGAGTCTGTCGGAGCTATAGCTAGGAAATTTAAAATTTCCATCGTTAACGCCCACCCCCGCAATCCATATTGGGGGTAGGCTGTCATTGAATCCGCTCTTGAATCATTTCTACATTCCATAAAACAGATTCTTACCAAATTTGGAGCCTATATGAGCTACAGTTCGGAAATTTAAAATTTTCATTGTTAAGACCCACCCCCGCACTCCTCTGTAGAGTGGGATATCATAAAATTCGTTCTTAAATTATTTTTACATCACTTACACAAAATTCATGCAAAATTAGGAGTCTGTAGGAGCTAGATGTCGGAACTTTTTGATTTTCTTCGTTAACGTCCACCCCCGCAATCCATATTGGAAGTAGATTGTCATAAAATCCGCTCTTAGATCATTTTTACATCACATCTAGGAGATCCCTACCAAATTTGAAGTCGATAGGAGCTATAGGTTAAAAATGGGAATTTTTCATTGTTAACGCCCCCGCAACCTCCCTTGTGGGTGGAATTTCGTAAAATCCGTTCTTAGCTGACCTCTACTCGGCGAAAGGAATATTCCTAGCAAATTTCAAGTTGCTACGCCTTATGGTTCCAGAGATATCGTGATGAGTCAATATATAGGTGGGAAATCTCTTATATATATATAGATATAAATATATCAAATATATGAAAAATTGATGTGGGTACTCAAATGAAAGGCCTTGATGAGTGTAACATCAAGATGAGCTTATATCTTTGAAAATGTCAATAGTTCTCAAGATACAAGGCAATTTCTTAATTATGCAAAAAATTTATAATTATATAAAAAAAAAATTATTTTTCGCACTAATTAATTTTTTCTAAAAAAATAATTCATAGAAACAATAAAAAAATTGAAAAATTTACAATAAATTCTAATTTTACACTTTTTACAGCCTGATACGACCATATGTGACCAGTTTACGCCACATAGAGATTAATAGATTATATATGTCCATATATCAGTAAATTTCTTAACAATATGGTACTAGAAATTTTTTTTTACATTCCATTGTAAATAAAAAAGAAATAACTATCCTCCATATCTCACAACAATTCAATTCAAAAATAAATATAGACTTTCAGCTGACAAAAATAAAGTGAAAATCATGATGACAAATTGTCACGTTCCTAACGACTATTATGAATTCGTCCGTGACAACGTATTTATTTAACATATTTGTTTTTGTATGAATAAATATTTTTGTAATCAATACGTTGAATTATTAAATAAGAGTTTCATCAATCAGACCTATCATTAAAAATTAATTTATTTATTCCAATTTTACAGGATTGACATATTCAAACTACGAATTGTGAATTAGTAAAAAGTTATATCCTGTGAAAAGCAATTATCATCAATATCAATAAAAAAGTATATAATATTTTCCGATCTTTATTTTCATTTTTACGTTAAATATATATATGAAAGAAACTTCGATTTTTTATTAAGTGTTAGTTGATATAAGCTTTAGAAAAACGTTTTACAAAAATCCACTTCAAAAGTGTATCAAAGATTTAAACATTCTTATTTCTTATTTAAAAGTTTTTCAGGAGTTTAAATTTATAAGTAAAGAGACTTTCTTGTTTCAAAGATATTTGGCTATAAATAGTTTTAAGGAGATCAAGCTTTAAGGTCTTGCAAAGTATTCAAACAATACTTGGAATTATCTAAGTACTCTAAACAATGACCACTTTAAAATTAATTGATAATCTGATAAATTCCCTGGGAAAATCCTTTCTAATCCCCTAGAATGATTATCCGCAATGGCGCCCAAAGTTCATTTATGATGCCCAACTAATCTAACCTTATATTAGATGTATAAGATTACTAAAATGTTTTTAGAGGGTATTCTGGTCTAGAAGCATTAATTCTAGGTAATTTTTTGAAGTGCCGTAAAAAAAAGGCAATTAATATTTTTACTATACATTTTTTTGTAAGTTATTTATTAACATTATGAGAATACAGAATAAAATACAAAAATTTGGATATCAGTTGACCGCGCAGGCTAACCCTAGAACTTCATGCGAAGTTTCAATTTGAAGCGCATGAAAATGAGTTTTTTGGTAAATATTTGAGCTTTTCAAGCTCAAAGCACTGTTTTTCACATTTTTAAGCTCTTCAAACTGCGAATGCGCCGTTCGATTTTTATTTTTAAAAAAGTATTCGACGTAGTTTTTAAAGCACAAAAAGAAAATGTCGCGTGCACTGAAAAAAAAGTTTTTTTATACCCGGAATACTGAATATTTTTTAGTCGAGTTTTCTTGTACGAAGTAAAAGTCAAGTTATTGTGTTTTTCTTTAATTTATTTCCGCTCATTTACGCTCGATTAATATTTAAAAATTTTATTTGAGGTGTGGTAAGGCAATAAAACTTCTGTACTGATAAAAAAAATTAACTTTATTCAAGAGAAGAAATCTCTAGCGAAGAATATTATTTTAAAAAATTTTATTGTTTCAAACCAAGAAGAAAAATTGTTTAACAAAGTAAAATTATGTTAATCCAAGAAAAATTTCTTAGTTTAAGAATTTCTTCAAAATTTCTTCTTTTGAATCAAGTTAATTTTTTAATCAGTCTAAGTTTCACATACTTAGTTAAATAATCAAATTATCCTTAATGTTAGTATATTTTTTTAGATGAATAATCATATTAATTGCGAAATAATTGATCTTAAATATTAAAAATTTTCAAACTATTTAATTGTGTTAAAGTAGGCCAAAATTGTCCGACTAGTAAAATCACCTTTTATACTTTTTTAAAAGGTTCAATTTTATTTTTTTTATTGTAAAAGTTACCATTTTTATTTAGATTTAAAAAAAACGTACTTGAATAATTATTGATATAATAACCTGTTGATTAAATTGGATTTTTTACATTTTATCATAAATCTTATCCTTCGCGGATATCTTAACGACATATTTATTAATAATTGTTTATGGAATTATTCATGGCTCAAATCGGATCAAAAATCATGTAAGGCGCGCAGTAGCCTATCGGATCCGGCCCTTGCTACCAAAGCATTGGACCGGGTTCGAGTCCGGCGTACACCAATGAATATTTTCAATATTTAAGTGTATTATTCTGCTCAGCCCAAGAAATACAAACGAGTTCCAATCTCAAAAGTTTACCCCCTACCGTAGTCGCTCATGACCTTAGTAGTTTATGCGACTTTAAACAAATTAAAAAAAAAAAAAAAGATTACAAAAATGGGTTTATATTTTAATTTTTTACCTGTCTAGATATATATTGAAAGAAAAGTGCAGACAATTGCGATTTTATGAATACTGTCTAGTAAGTTGAAAGGTAACACCCGATGAAAAATGTTATCGAGGTTTTTTATAACTCATATTTTAACCAGATTCAGACCAGACACAGTCTGACACTAATTACTAGTGACAGCGTCATAATTTTTAATGCCATTCTGCTAGTGAAGCTTCAATTTAAAATAACTCTTCGGATCGATAAAGAACTTTCGTATAAAATTACAGCGCTCGATGCTCAAGAATGCTTCAAATCATTATTATTATTATTATTATTATTATTATTATTATTATACCAAGTTGACAATTTCTGAGTTTTTTTAAGATCTCTTAATCTTACAGATATTACAAAGAGTTAAAAATAAATTTATCTTAAAATAATCTCTTGCAACAGGTTTTTTAATTTGTAATAGACAAAAAAAAAATATTTCCAATCAAAAAATAGTACACCAAAATTATATTTATCGACGAGGTTATATACTCTTCTTGATCGGTAATATAGCAAAGGCTTTATTTAGGGTTTAGCCTTTATCACTGACAGGACATTTCAAAACCAGGATATCTGTGGCAGAGTATTTTTATTTTTATTTTTGGAAGTCTCTTCTAAATCACCTTTCAACGCGTCGTTTTTATTCGCTGAACGTACGAGAAATTGGCTTTTGCATTCAACAATTTTCGTCTTATCTTACTTCCTTTTTGACAAGCTACCCGTCCAACCTCCCCTTACAAGTTCCTCTTACCGTAAGTACTTCAGCTGAACTTGACGTGTAGGGATGGAACTGCTATTGACGAGAACATAATGCGTTTTTAAAGCTGTTAGCAGATGCTTTTTTTCCCTCCTTTTCTTACTGCCCGTCAGAACCTGGAACAAGAGTTGTATGCTTAAAATGTCATCTATATTATTGAGAGAATAAGCAAAATTTTATGGTCAGTGCATTTGTATAATAAAATGGGTTTTTATGGTTAAATTTAGTATAATTGAAAAGTCTTGACTTGGATTTGTGTTTTTTCAAGGTTTCATATCATTCTTACCGATAGTCAATTTATTATGATAAGTATTTAGGCTGTATTCAAAAATGATCTATCTCTAGATAGATAATAAAGAAATGACCTTGTATCTTGTGAACTATTGACATTTTTAAAGATATAAGCTCACCCCAATGTTACACTCGTCAAGACCTTTCATTTGAGTACCCACATCAATTTTTCATATATTTTATATATTTTTCATATATGGGTGATTCTCTGTAAGGATGTTTTTTGCTGTCTCAGGTATTTTTTTATTAGAAAAATTGTTATTTTGTTACTAAAAAAAATTTATTACCAAAGTAAAAAAACATTTCTATTTGGAGCATTGAAAACTAAAATGAAATAAATTTTGGTTTTTTTGCTATAAATTGGAAAACCACCGAAATAACAGTCCCCTAGGGTGTCCCATTCCCAAAATTAAAACTTTAAGATTCAATTTTAAGTTATTCGTCCATAATATATAATTTGGTCGATAATGTTTATAAAGTTAATTAGTTAACTAACAATCTTCTTCAATGAAAAGTACCGAAAATTAATTTGTTTCATTAAATTCATTAAACCAAAGTTTGTCCCAGGGATTTTAAGAACAGTCCCCTGCCAGAAGTTCAAAGCCAAAAAAAAAATCCAGCGTGTTATTTTACCTTTTGTAAGGTTTATAAGGACCTAACTAGCCTTGAGTTAATAACCATAGGGCTGTTAGCGCTTTATCGGGATTTTATTTAGTGTTAAAGCACCGTTTGTGCTGGAAATATGTGTCTGGGTCACTTGAAAACGTCAGTCCCCTGGTAACTATTTTTATTTATAATTTATTTATAAAATTCCATCCATAAGTCTTAATATTATTCTAATTAATGTAAACATTGATTGAGAACTTGAAAAGTTGAATGCATTGAAATAGTTTGCTTGATTTTTCTCAATTTGATAAAAAAAAAGTCCCTTGGCAA